TTAATCTCTTAAAATTTGGTAGGATTCACTGAAATACTCTACAACTTCGTAACAATCTCTAAAGAAAATTACCTTATGACAAGTGGTAATCTCTCATATTGAGACGATGTAAGATTTTTTTATGGAGGCCATACAGATTTGATTTTAAAAAAATTCTAATTTTGTTAATTTGAAATATGGGAAATAATAAGCTGTGATCTACATGTAGAGGTCTCGTTTTTAATTTTTTGTCCCGGCGCGCACCCAAACAGCGGTGCCGGGTGAATGGGCGGAGCCAGTTGCACTTCCGGCCGAAGCAGCGCCCCGAGGAGCGCAGGGAAGGGCGAAGGGCGAAGGGGCTTCTATGGCCTGCACATGAAGTGCTTCGCCTTCGTATTGACTCTCGCCCGCCCTGAGGTGTCCTCTCCATATCGCGGGCTGGAAATGTCTTGGGTCGCAGCGCACGCGATGGCACGAGACACGCCAGCCCGGCGCTGGGACGCACGGGCGGGGGGGGGGCGGCGCCTATTCTTGGCTCAAAGGGCAGACGGCTGGGCGCTCACTTGACCCGCCCACGCACTGACACCGCGCCGATCCACAAAATACGTTTCCAGTTTTCCGGTCGGCTCTTGACACAAATGCTTTATTCACATGTATAGAGATATGTTACTTAGTATTCATTAGTTGTTACAGAAAAATAAATGCTTAACGTTACAAAAATTATAAATGCTTACGTTCAATACAATTACGTATTTACAATTAATTTCGTGTAGTAAGATCTTCAAAATGGAGTAAACGGTATGCGACCGCACGCACGCTTCCCTTGTTATTCATTCACCTCACCTCTGCTATTATTCCCACACACTTATTCCATTCACTTACCTTACCTTTAAACTCTCACACAGGAAGAGACACCAGTGGTTACCGTAAAGGTTGGCCAGTCTACTCGCCCCTTTGCTCCTCCGTTTCCGCAATCTGCCTTTGCCAACTCGATCCTACTCGCCCGCGTCCGCCCCTTGCCTCCTAGCCGTTCGCCTTCGACCTTCCACTCTGTCCTCGCCGTAGCGCCCCTAGAAACTCGCGTCTGCTAACTCGTTTCATACTGCTGGCCCCAGTCCCCGCACCATCGTTTTAGGCACTGGATCTCCCTTGTCCGCCTTTTTGCCTCCTCCTTCCTGCGCCGTCGCCCTCTCCCTTTGCCATCTCGCTCCCACTCCTCTGAGACTGCACTTTCGCTCTTGATCGCTTGCCTACGCTTCCACTCTCTCTCATTGTCATCTTGATTACTGACCACTGCCATCCTTACCCGCCTTCGCCCTTTGCCACCTTGCTGGCTCAGGGCATCAACTGATGTCACTGCAGTGCCTCCTCAGGTTGCAGCCCCGACAGTGACAGGATTTTCGACACTAGGTCGAATCCAGCCGCTCGAGGCAATTCTGGACGAGAATTCTAGCGACCGACTGCTATGATCAGTAGTTTTCCTTTTCTTTTTAAAAACACCAGGCGAATGCCGGAGCAGTACCCTAACAAACAGGTCACGGACCGCGCGCGATCGTTCCTTCCGCGATCTTCTTGACCTGTCCTTACCCCGTACCCAGTGCCCTGTTGGTGGAAGATACCTGGTTGAAGGAAACTCCCGAAAACCGACGTGAGGTCGGTGCCGGAACTCGCCAAACAGCGGGGGAAGAACACAGCCACGCACTACCCTTAAGGGACAAATGACCTTAGCTCTTGACGTTCCCAGAATCACTAATTAACCAATCAGCCAACTTTGTCAGCACGATCGCGTTCGTTGACCCGTCCTGAACCTACCGTCCTCACTTCTTCCCATCCCTTCCATGGCCTCCACCACCATCTCATCTCTTCAGCCACTCGCCCGCCGCTTGCATCTCTAACAGCCTCAGTCTCCGCTTTGTGCCTTTGCCATCACGCGTCTGCTCTCACATCCGTCCTCGTCCTCTCCCTTCCCTTTGCAATCCCGTCCCCGTAGATAGTCCCGTAGATTGTCTAAAGAAAGTTTGGTGCAGATGGAAAGGAGATACATGCAATTTTGTACCCCGAAATCGGGATGTATACATGTGCATGGATGTGTCACGCAAAAGTTAAGAAGCTTTTGAACTGTTATTTGATAAACACGTTAGGTGCAAAGAGTTGTTGTGCATTTTTGGGAGTACTTTTCATGAAACCTCAGAGACATTTTCAACATTTTCTGGAAAAAAGCTAAACCTTTTTTCTTTAAATGTTATTTTAAAAGGAAGTGCATTTGTAACGGTAGTATAGTTACGATTTTCATTAAAATCTCTGACATATCAAAAACTACAAAAAAATTTATATTTAAAACATCATGACTTTTTGTTTAGAAAGTTGTTTGAGCTCTCCTCTTTCTCAAACAAATTTCGTGATTTTTTCTTCAATTGAAAGGTAGTGGGTCTCAGATGTTTTATCACTTGCTGTTATTAATCGATGTTATATAATAAACAATAACGTTTTATGAAATCTTGAAATTACTCCAGTGAATCTGCCGTCATTTGTTCATTACCCCTTGTGCGAGTTGTACCCGATTTATAGAAAGCATTCGACATTTCTTCTTTGAGAAACCATGGTTGAAGAGCCTATTTAAGAAACCATGATTGTAAGTGAAACGATTACTGTAAGTTCATTATATGTGTTTAAATACAAAGTTTAGTGAGAGTATTGAAATGCAACCTCAAGGAATCGTTTTAATCATGCATACCTTTACAAAAAAAATGATTGTAATAATATCGGTAATATACAATGTGGATAGCCAGATATCTTGAAAATGTCCTGATCTTGATACATATAAAACATTTATGTCCCTTACCCCATGCACATGTATCCTTATTCCCATTTATTTTGTTTGATCTGTGTTCCCAGTGGATTGTGAATGTGTTGTTCCATAATGTGTAAACCTTCCTTATTTCATAAGTCTTCGAGGCTTGATACTGAATGACTTGAAATAATGCTTTGGGAGTTTACTTTTTTCCATGATAGTGAATATGTAAAAATGTTCTAACTTTTCTATCGTCACATCTCACTCATATCTAATTTCCAGCGTGCATCTTTGCAGCTCGAAATTTTAATATAAGTCCCAACTTTCCAAGCAATTTTAAACCACACTGATTGTTGTTATTGTGATGTTTTCTGCTTAACTTCATTCACTAGTCTCTTTAAATGATGTTTTTAGATGATGCACATTTAAAAATAAATCTAAGTGTTTGTTGATTAATAACACAAACAGGAAGAAAAGTTTTAGTATGTTGCGTATTTTCATTAGTTTGTTGTTTTAATATTTTTTATTCCTATTTATTCACAAAATACACTAAATAGGACCTTAAAAGTCCATTAAATCCGTCCCCTACTACTCTTATATACTCCTAGTATACTTGCATGTTATCAGTAGAAACATTTGGAATATAAACATATAAAATATGGAAAAATATAAATATTAGTAATTTACGCTGTTTTTCAATCTCTTCGGTTCATCGCTATACAAATTATAAATCTAAATGGATGTGGAGGAGTGAACATGTTCGCACATTAGCAAACATGAATTTTCCAATTATGAGATACGTAGGAAGTGAAGTTCACATTACGATCAAAATGGAAATGAACATGTGTTGACAGAGCACTCTGGAAGCTATTAGTGCTGATAGAGCCTTGAGCGAAGTAGTTCATCCTTCGTCCACTAAAGCGCGAACTTCGCTTACTGAAGAACGCTGTTTCCCGACTGAACGATTTGGTTGCAATACAATGTGTTTGACTTTTGGATGAAGATTTTGAAGAAACCGTTCCTTGTTTCGCCGCATCCATACATGACTTGAGCAGGACACCTTATTGTCTCCACTTTTCTGCTTGTATCATAAGTATCCTTTACTGCATGTTATTGTCAAATCTGTGTAAGTACATCATATGGATGATTGAAAACCAGAACAGTGTAAGTAAATTTTATAAATTCTGAGAAAAATCTGAATATTGTAGGCTATATTTCAGTGGCAATGAATTTTCGTGGTTTTAATGAACAATTTAAATGCCGTAGTGATTTAATGAACAATTGAAATGATGAAACAAATCATCACGATTTTACAGTAATATTGACTTAAATAAACAGATTTCTCTGAATTTATAAAATGTACTTACACCGTTCTGGTTTTCACAAATTTGTTTAACTGTAATTCCTGCACATGTTAGTATAATTGGAAGTGAGCATGCCGATAGAGAAGCTAAATCAGCCATAATAGATGGTATGATTTACCCATTCAATAGCTCGGTATCTGAAGTTGCTGTAAACAAGGAGGATTGTAGTCAAAATAATTTTGCAAATATTAAAAATCTTGGTGGCTCTGAAGCCAGAGAGTTTTCTTACATAATTACAGAACATGATAAATACCATGGTTTCAGAAATTCAAATTAACTAGAAAATAAATTGTTATTATTAATAGATTGAGGTCAAATCATTCATAGTTAAATCACAGTTTGAATAGATTCAAAATCGTCAATTCATATTTGTGTGAATGTGGTGTAGGGAATGACCCTGTCGATTATTTATTATGGCACTGTACAATATTTGATATCTTAAGTAATTTTATGATGGTCAAACTCAACAGCCTTAATATAATGTTAGCCCCCATTTTGTACATTCTAAATTGTTTAAATACACATGTTATTCCAATTATATGTCAATTCCTTGTGAAGTGAAAAAATATAATATTTGTGATAAGATTCTACTAAGAAGAATATCTGTTAGAATGTAATAGTTTTAATTTTTGAAACCCATTTGAGAAATGTAATTTGTTATATGGCTGTATGCAAATGACTGCCAAAATAAATAAATAAATTTTAAAGCTATCTGCGTGGCTTATGCGGTGCCTCACCAATTCAAAAACCGCGCCTCTTTGGTAGTGCAGCCGCCATCCGCTGTGCGGCGCCACTGCAATCGGGCCGCCGGGCGCGACTAGGGGTCGTGGAATTTGGGGCTCGCGCTGATGCTCGTGGTTGCTGGGATGGGAGTAGACGCGGGAGGCCACGTTCGGCCCTTCCTCTACAAAGAAGAGATGGTTTTGGCAGGTTGTGGGTGAAGAGACGTCGTGAGGATGGTTGACATGTCACTTGCAATGAGCGAGGCCTCATTTCTGCGCTTGGCAAAATTCCTGAGCAGGTAAGTGCATTTTAAAACTTATCATCCGAGGGATCCACTTTAATGACACAAGTGGCTGCCTGGTTATGAGTAAGTGTGCAAAGGCAATTTTCAGAATAATACGTCCGTCGTAATGTGTTGGAACAAATTTGGTTAAATTTGGATATCACTATTTGCCATGAGGGCGATCCTCTGTCTAGTGAGTGTTGTAGTGCTGAGACCTTTATAATATTATGTGAATTTTAAATATTACTTGAGAACAATCCATACAAAATTGATTGTGAGCTAATTTCAGTAAATGAGAACATGTCTGAACATGTTAATGAGAACTTGAAATTGATCGAAAATTTATAATGTTATTTGGTCTGAATATTTGCTTAGAATAGTACATGAAGTATTGCAATGTGAGCAAGTTCCAATAAATGAGAATGTTTCTGAATTTTTTAATTTGAATTGGAAATTGTTTGGAATTTTGTAATGTTTTTTGGAGTGCATAGATTAGATTAGATTTATTACTAAACTTCCAATTAAATTTGATATCTTGGTGGCAGAATACACTAACTTAACATTACAGAACTAACAACTTAACAATATTTGTTTATAACAATATATTACACATTGCCACCTGCAGGTATCAGTGAATGAGAATTGGCCTTCACATGTTAATTTGAGTTTGAAATTGATTATAATTTTATGAAGTCAATTGAAATTTTGGTAACTTTGGTTGGATTTATCATCATACGGAGTGACTTGTTGACAAAGGTTATGCTGACAAGTTACTGATGTAAGTGTAATGTTATCGTTTAGTTTAAAGTTCAAGGACTTTATCCTGTATGTAATTGGCATATTCCATGGGCCAAATTGTATTTGAACCTGCCAATTTTTCTTACGTAAATACATGCCATTACCTGGAATCTACGTGATTTTATATTGATGGCATATTCACAAAACCTTAAAGAGGATCCTTTTTTTTCTGATCAAACGCTCACCGCGGCGGAGGTTACAGGGTGGTATGGCAGAGCCAGGAGGATCTTTGCTTCAGTCCTCCTCCCCACCGCTTGGAGAGGGACTCCCCGGCTGTAGGGCTATTCGAAATGTGTTGACTGCTCGTCTGAGGGTGGGTGGATGGGTCACTATATATACTATATGTCTCCTGTCTCTCAGACGTATTGTTTGTGTTCAAGACCAAATTATGGCAAACCGTAATGGCATTGAAGTCATTGTGCGTGGCCGTGATAGCACCAATAATCCCCAAGACAGCTCACGTGTACTACGTTCTCCAATCAATATTTTTAAAAGCCACTTTATGTACTGACTTGCGAACCCGTGTGAGAACTCTGGCATGTTAAACAAGCCCTTGAAGTTACTAGTAATATGCTAATTTTGGTTCGTTTTATTTCAAACTTAATTTATCTCAGTCCTGAAATAATTAATTTTATTTTTCGTCTCCCAGCTTAGACCGATCATTAAAAAATAATTTATATCACTGTACTTTGACAGGCATCATGTAAAAATGTTCCTATATCTTTGTTTGTATTCTCGTGGTTTAAATTTTTGTACAGTTAATTGTAATTTATTTGTAATTCTTTTGAAAGGGTTTTGTAGTTTTTTCATTTCAATCAAAGTGCGGGTGCTTAATGGCACGATGTTTGTCTTTTATAAATGAAGATAAATTGTTTAAGAAATATTCCTTCGATAATATTGATAATGCTATGATGTGGGATACGTGAAAATGGAATATTCTAAAACGATATTGATTTATTAATTCGAGTAATATAAGCCTGTAATCATTACCACTCGCTTTCATTGTCAAATTCTTATTTTTGAAAGGTATAAAAATAGTTTTCGGCTTTCAAGATAGATGGCTTTCCACTTCTTGAAGACATTTCCTTCTGTAAAAATATGAGAAATATCGACCTTACCATCCAACTTCAATTGATTTGAATGTCTGTCACCAGCCACATCAGTCATCCGGAGGTGACATCCACGGAGACTCTGTCGGTGTAAAGGACTAGTGTCCCGATAATTTTACGGGCAATTCGTATCACCTTTATTCTCAAATGCTAGTTGGAAGAAAGCTATATTCCACATTTCTGGATACAACAGTGCTATTAAACCAATTCAGAACACCCTCTAGATCCAAATTCCGCAACTCCGAAATAAGATTTGCCGGAAGGCCATCCGCGGCTCCGTCTTTCCTTTAATTCGTGGCTAGACTTCGATTTATTCAGTCAACAAAAAAACAAAAAACTTTTGGCTGTGAGACATTCTAGTTTACTATTGGCTGAGAATCGATTTCCAGGTGTCGACTGTGTCAATGGCCCATGATAGAACATAGCGTTAGTAGGGAGATTGAGCACGCCATGGTGGCAGCACTGTCGATCTTCTGCGCATGCGCAGATGCCCCAGTGGTGCGAATCTTGAACTGCACCTGTGCAGAAGATCGATAATGCTTTAACGTTTGAGGGTGCACAAACTCCCTACTTCGTCTTTCGACTTCGAACCTATTTCGATACTCGATGATGTACTGATTGGTTCATTTCTCATGCCTTACTTAAGCATAAACGCAGAAGCTTGCAA